GGTCTATTGTATTTAAATGTTATTGATTTAAAAAAACAGAGTAATTACGCAGTTTAAGTAGTAGGGATATCATTGTATTGTAGAAAACTAATTACTTTATTTAGCATTAGTTTCATTGATGTAATAAAAATAAAAATTTATCTTTCCTCAAATCGGAATCTCAAATTCAGGTGTACAAAGGGAAGAAAATACAGAAAAAAGCGTAAGGTTTCATAAAAAACCTAAATGAATGGTGCTCGAGTAGCGTTTAACTTTATATTTTTTTATGTCTTCTCAGTAATAATAAAACTATTAGTTTGCAAATTTACATTAATTTCAATAAAACGAACCACAGAGTTTATGTTTAAATAAATATTTTTTGGTACATGAAGAATATGAAAATGACTCTGCTCTGTTTCTACGCTTTTTGCAATGAAAGTTTCCCAGTCACATGTTTTTGACGATAACACAATAAAAATTTCTGAAATAATTTCAGATATATTTTTATCTTTTAATGAACAGATGTAGTATTACATAAAAAAGAAATAGCTAATTTTATCTGATTTTTATATGTATAAATATGTTATATAGAAAATAGATAACGTTTACTAATAATGTTATCTAGTAACCACATGAGAGTTTAAAATTAATTATTCTTTAAATAGAGAACGAAATATTTATTTTATATTTCTTAAGAAATAACTGATTAAACTTCCAGTAGCCGTTTTTGTTTCCCTCTTTAAAAATAATTTTATTACTGCTATTTTCAATATTTGATAATTAATTTCTACATACATTCAACATCAATTCACATTAGGTTTAAAAACTTTCCTTGACAGTAATTATTTTCTTCATTATGGTCGTGTCAATTAAATTTAATTATACTTCCTTAAAGCAAAATTTAATTAAACAGCAAATGCTTTTTGACAGTTTATGAATAATTTTGCATACATTTTTAATAATCTGTTTTTATAATTTAGATTTCATAGTTTTATAAAATAATTTTTTCTTTAATTTTGCTTGACTGGTATTGCATATCTTAATTAAACAGTAAACTTACATTAGGAAATACACGAATATCTGATCTCCAGAGAGTATGAAGTATCTCGCAGTTCACTAAAGAGTTAAATTATTAATTAATAATAAGCATGAATATATATTTCAGTCAATTTCAACGTTGAGACATTTTTCTTACGAGTTTTTCGTATTGTACATAATACCATGAAAATATTTATTTTATATAAATATACCTAACATTTATTTCATAAATTCAAACATAGCATCAATTTCTTATCTTACATGTATATATATTGTTGAGTGCGTACGGGTTCGTAATGGACTGAATGCACAAGTCGATAAGAAGGTAATAAAATTTATTCTTATCACAAGAAATAATCCAAAATGCTTAAATTTTTCCAGAGATAATTCGTAAAATATTGCAATATCTCACAGTAGTTATATTTTAAACTACTAAAACGTTGACCGCGAATTCGTTACAATCAACGACAAGAACTAAGTAAACTACTGAATTGAAATGTATTCCTCCAGCTTATATAATCCTTTTAATCTGCACGAAAACATTCTAGTATTTTCTCGATTTTTCTAGATAGCAAAAGCGTATAAATGCGTGATAGCTTTCCGGCGTACCTTTCTCTTCAAATAAGTTTCGCGCTTACTAAAAATAGCTACATAAATATAAAATCCGTAACACTGTCCCCTTCCCAAGGCTGCACGTCCCGAGTAATACAATCCTTGGACAGGAAGCCAAACTTACAACTAGAACAGAAAAGGCAATAACAAACATTACATTACAATATTGCAATATGTAACGTAAAACAAATCAAATACTATCAAATACTAAACACAAAGCAAATCAGATACAAATTTACAAACAAAAAGGACCATAGTCTTATACTATTTACAATTATACACACTGCGTACTACGGCCACAGTAAGGGCCTAACCTGTGGTAATGAAAGACTTAAAATTTCGATGACTTACGGATCCGAGGCACGACGTCGTTCAGCCTGTTTAAAATAAGTGTACACACCATCCCAAGGTGACTATAATTTAGGACCGAGTCCTTTCCGTCGAATTGGGTTCCACAATCACACTTCGTCTCCTTCCCCGAATCGATATCCAGCAGTTCTCGTGCCGTATCGGGTCCTCACCTTTTTCGTCGCATGTAATATAAATTGAAAAATATTTTTATAGACTTTTTCTCCTGAAATTATTGCATTATACGTCTTTTAGCCAATCGGTTTAATCATAAGAGGCTACATTAATACGAAGGGTTTTTTTTTTTTTTTTTTAATGTACTCATTTTTTACGCTTTTGTACGAGGCAAAGGAAGAACTGTAATTAGAAAAAGTTCGTTAGTTAATTCACATTTCAGCAGAAATATTCATTTTTACCGTTCCTGAATTCATTTGCACGAAGTCTATACCTAAGGACGGAATAAAGGACTGAGTTTTCCAAAACAAACTGTAAAAGGAATTTAAAGTAGATTCGAAAGGAATGTTTTTGTGACGTCTGTACGTACGTACGTGCAGTCATTAACAGAAGTCGTGTGGTTCAGATCGTTCCTTAATCACTTACAAGTACATTCCTAGGTGAAGTCGTAAGTAAATCACGTACGTAAGATGCATATATATATATATATATATATATATATATATATGGACACGTATATGTACACACGCGCATATATATATATAATTTAATGTAGTAGTAGTAGTAGAGAAAATAAAGGAAATTATCTCACAGGAAATTTGAAGTGGGATTAAAAATAAAACAGAAGAATATACGTACCCCCTTCCTCGGCTTAAAAGTTCTCACATTGCCTTTATTTTCGCAATCGTTGGTCGTAGTTATATACTTCCAGTTATAAAAATGTTTTAAATGACAAGAATATGTGCAATTATGTTTCGACAAATTAAAAATTACGTTTCAACAAATATAGAAATCTGACTTATAATACGGTCTCGCAACTCCTATAGTTATATATTTGGGAAAGTTTTATGCTCGTTATGAGAAAATAAATATACAAGAAGTTTGACTCCCGTACGGCAAAAATTGATCTGGATATTTAATTTCAAAATTTGCAATTTTTGATGTCATTTTCAGCTTGCCTTGATGAATCAGTTAATTAATTTAAAATAATCCAAAGAAATCATTTTAATGAAGAACAGAACATCAAAAAATATGTATAATTTAATAGGCCGTACAAGGAATTCAAGTGGTGTCCATTTTTGATTTGCCAGTTTTCGAAACATCAGATTTTTTATATTAAAATATCATTCAATAAAAATTTAAAAGGTCTGGTTTTCTGGAAAATAGCATATGTTGCAGAAAATTGGAATACAATTTCTGCAAATATCAGTTACGTGTCTGTAACCCTATTAAAATATTTTTTTTTCTTTTTTAATCTTCTGAAATGATCCACCTCTTGTTGAATATACATCACGCTTTGAACATATATCAGCAATAACTGTAATACACTGTTGGCCATTAAAATTACAACACCATGAAGGAAAGAAAATACAAAAAATATATTTATTGTACGCAAACAGTACAGCATGAAGATAAAATGATTAAATTTATAAGAAGTTTTGGGGTTTACAGGAGTGCAAAGTTAGTAGAAACATCTACCACGACGGGTAGCTAAAATGTCCTTTAACTAGATAGGCAGGAATTTGAACTGGGCTTCGATCTCAGAAACGGGCAACTCATTTCATGCTGCTTCAAGTCTGTGTCACACTTAATCAACCGTATTAGGTGGAGAGAGATGGTGGCCAGTCTCTCAGCAACCCTGGACCAGATGTTATCAATGGCTGACAGATCTGGAGACCGTGCAGACCAGCGCAGCAAGCGAATACCCTGTGTATCGAGGAAAGTCAGAACTGGTGTGGTCTTCAGTCAGGACGGGTGTAACATGTGGTCTTGCGTTATCTTGTTGGAAGATGGCGTTTGGCAGGCCTCGAGGATAGGGCACAACCAGTGGAGGTAAGATTTCAGAAATGTACTGATCAGCGTTCAAATTACTCTCGATTCGAACTAAAGATGTGCGTGTCGTGTACGCAATGGCTACCCAAACCATCTCAGCAGATATCCCTATGCCGATATCAAATGCAAGCAGGTGACATGCAGTCTCCTGGGAGCCTCCAGTTACGTATACGGCCGTCAGAATACTGCACGCAGAACCGGGACTCATCTGAAAAGACGACATTGTACCACTCCTTATGTGCGTTCGTTCGCACCAGGACATTGTGCGTTCGGCGCACCAGAGCGCTTGTCTCTCTCTATGCAGCATTGTCAAGGCTAGCCGAATAATCGTCGCCGTGCTGATAGTTCTTGATGCTGCAAACGTCGAAGCTCCGTACGAGCGGATACTGGAATTACTGCAAACATGCCCATTTCCTGACTAATGGTCCGTTATGTGGTTGCAACTTTTTGTTGCAGGGCTGACCTCACAATATGTCTGTTTTCTCGGGTATTATTCAAGGGAGGGCGTTGAGATCCTGCAAGCTGTTCAGTATGAACCTCAGCAACCTGATGATTCCATATTCGCACAACAGTGGTTGGATGTCGACCAGTGTGACGAGTGATATCACGGGACGATAATCCACACTCTCGATAGGCAACGATCCTGCCTCTGCTGAATTCCGGCACTCGCTGGTTAGCACATCTTATTATTTGAGGAATAACGCGATATTCTGAGGACACACCAACCTTACAGCTTTCCGAATAACATTTGTTTTTCTTTTTCTTAACACTACACAACGTTTCTTTCATGCAGTGTTTCAGATGTCGTCTCTCCCACCTGCGTCTTCTAAATGCGCTGAAATACTCATCATTTGTATATCCCATCTTCTTACTTTCATGTGATTTTGATGTTAGTCAGATTACTCCTTCCTGGCGTTTCAATTTTAATGGCCAGTAGTGTATCTTACTGCCCACAAAATGTTTTGGTTCTATATTTGTATCCTAAAATGCGCATGTTTCATTCTTCATGAAGGAATATGCAATCAATAACTTCTTATTGTTTTTCAGAGCCACCAGATCATCCGACTCAAGTAGAAGTTATTCATATATCGAGCCGCAGCGTTCATATTCGATGGGCTGTCCCCTTCAACGGAAATAGTCCTATTATTCGTTTCATAGTAGTTACAGATCATACGAAAGGTTAGTGCTTTTGAATAACTCAGCTTTATTTATTGCTTATTCACACTTACATATAATTACATTACAGAATCTGCATAAATTCTGCTTTCTTTTGGAGGGGAGAAAATAAATAAATAAAGTAAAATCTGGAAGAGTTCAGATTTAACGGTCGCCCAGGGCTTGCTAAAGTTTTTTATTTTCTCCTGAGCTCGCATTCTACCCATCTGCTCTTCTACTAACTCCTGCTAACAATTTTTTGTTTTTGTTTTTCTAGCTTTATTATTAATTATCGAACTTACGTCACATACAATTCAACACCAACATCACAGAAATTTTAAAAGCAGCATAATAGCATATGTTTAGAATTCCTGCTGCAGTGTTAAGTGTTGGTGTAAAATATTCTAATTTTTTTCGTTCTCAATTCATCATATCAGTGTTCATTTTCTTTAGTAAGATGGCTTACAGAACTTTCTTTTTGTTTTTTACAATAAATATTTTATGTTCGCTTTATATATTAAATATCCCATTCTTCGCACCTACCCACATAAAATTCAATTCAACAGCCAAATCACAAAATATTTATAAACAGCATATCATTAGAATTTCCGAAAGATAGCCTCGCGTGATGGAGATAAAAGTGTTTTATTGCGTACGGTGTTTATACTGCTCGCTTTCAAATTGTTGAGTTTGTTAATCAAAAATTCAGTCAACAAAATAAAAATTTTTGTTAGTCAAAAATTGAAGTTATACAAACTGTAAAGTAAAGAATGAGGAACCATTCCGAGATTCAAAATTCGAGCTTCCAGCTGCACATGTTCAGGTGGAGGATTACGTTATTCAAAATTTGATGTCTCTAGGTATCGTCGTTTTTCACCATGTGAGGAAGAACAAACATATAGACATATAGAGTTTTCATTATTTATATTCTTTAAAAATAATACAGGCTGATAATATTCGGTAACAACAATTTGAAAATTGATACGCCGTTTTTACGAGTTTATATGTTTATTTGTAGTTAACCTGCATAAAATCCCATTTCGAGACTAAGAGCCCCTTTTGTGTTGAAGAGAAAAAAACTATATAAAAAGTAAAATAAATTAAAGAAACACAGAAATCTGAAAGACTTCAGATTTTTAAATCAAATCCAAAGGGGTGTTTCTTTAACATTTTGTCTGTTACCTTTATTTATTAAATATCATGTTCTTCGCACTTAAGGGGACTCATACACCTTAAAACCCATAAGATCTTCGAATATGTGACTGCTGCAAGAATTGGGATAACTTATTTATTTTAAAAGCAATTACTTCCAACTTTTTACAGCTGACTACATAATATATCTGCTTTCTGAAATAGCCATCAGAAAGTTTGTGTTGCAACAAATATTTTTATAATTTAATCCGCTTCGTGACAATATTTTTCGTCATGTTTCCACCTTGCGCGCACAGTTTAAAATATTCTATTGCATAATTTAATTCCATATTTAATATATAGCTTTTATAACATTTGGAAACTACTGTGAACCTAAAATTCTAAAAATTTCATGTTAAATTTTTATTTTATTTGGAGTTGAGTTTATAAAATGTATTTTAGTAAACAAATTTGCAATGCTTTCGTCCATAAAATTTTTCAATATTAAAACATTTATCAGTTTTTTGGTTCAGTTAGAAAATAGTGCCCATATAAAGAATTCCATTGAATTTCAAGTATGTACCATTAGCTATTTTTAAAATATCATGCGCGCAAGGTGGAAACATGGCGAAATATTTTGTCACGAGGATTAAATTACAAAAATATTTGTGGCAACACAAACTCTCTGGTTATTAGTTTCCAAAGCAACTACGTATATTATGTAGTCAGTTTTAAAAGGTTGGAAGTAATAAAATAAAATATCGCAATTCTTGCAACAATCCCATATTTGAAGATCATGAGGGGTTTCAGGTGTATGAGCCCACTTAAACGATAAAATTCAGTTCAAGAGCAATATAACAAAATTATGTTTAAATGAGAGTATACTGGGCATTGTTATCCAATTTCAAGAACTAAAATTGTCTCGAAAAAGATGTGTGGTTTATGATCTGCAGCCTAACCTTAAAAAAAAAAAAAAAGCAAAACAACTTCACGAAACATTTTTCGGAGGATCTTACTAAGAGCAATGAGAAACTGTGCAGTTAAGCCTATATACTGGTGTGAGAATTATTTGAAAATAGAAACAGTGAATTATTGGAGATTATTTTACAAGTAACAGGACACCGCATGAACACTGTGTTGTTGTTGTTGTTCATTCCCGAAGACTATCAGGACTAAATCAGATCCACCGCGTTGGTCCACCTAAAGAAATGCAGAACCAACAATAGATTGTCAGTACGATCCTGTGCAGGAGAAGCTATAATGTGATCAGAGAAAGCTTGCTCAGAACAACACTTGGTGCAAACTTCAAATCACTTAGAAACCTTAAAAATGTCAGAGTTCTTATGATGCCCACTGAGGAAGCGGGTGAAGGTGGAGCACTGTATGCAACCCTAGTCAAAAACACACTTATTTAATAGAACACCCAGTAGATGGAGATTTCCGTAACTTATGTCGCAAGAAATCAATCTAGTAAATCACTTAGGCATTTTTTGTCAGATAAAAAATGCAAAACATCAGGCAACAACCAAGAAGAATGCTTTATTAATATCACATTAGGCACACACACACACACACACACACATATATATATATATATATATATATAATTAACCAATTATTAACAATTTTGTATGTATTTATTTTGTACAACTTCATTATTATATTATTTTACTCATTCAAAACACCCTTTCCCTACTTTTTATTACATTTTTCGGAACAACTATACACTTATTGGCATTGGTATGGTAAATTATTGTTCTAAGATTAAGTAGATTTGCTAAAATATTGCGAGCGTCAAATCAAATTGACATATGCTTATAACTCTTAACATTTAGACGTGTTGTTTGCAGAAATAAAAGTTTTTTAGCAGCATAAAATTAATTTTAAATACACTTTTTACTCACATTTATGAAAGTTCACTTACTTAATTGTTAAAGATGCATTTCTTAAAAATTTATAATTACTAGACTTTGATTGTTATTCGGAGTTGAATCAAATGGTAATTACGCATTTCCATATGAATCGAAAAAGAGTATAAATTTAAAATTTTTGTAGTTACGTTTCTCTTCCATAAAACTTCATAAATATTTATATCAATTTCAGCCGGGGTTTTGACTTAAGAGAATATCAGGAAAGCATATTCGGCAAGCAGAATGAATTATAGGAAATGTTAATTGTTATTTAGATTTAGGAAAGATTTTTATTACATTTTCATTTTTCTTGACAAATGATACAAAGTACTTTTTTTTTCTTTGTAACAATTTTTTTAATTCATCTTGCTTTTAAAATTAAAATTTAAATGAATATATAAAGAACAGTTAATTACTGTGATTTATTAAACTTTATCCACCTCTAAATGACAACTGTCCTTTTGAAACATAAAACTCAGTATTTGGTACTAGCTATGATGTGAAATGTAATATACTATACAGCTTGTATTCTTCAATATAATATTATCTGTAAGCTCAGTAACGCAAATTATAATTTATGCTTATAATATTGTTTTGTTACTACCTAAAAATAGGTTTTATGTTAAAATTATTGAGGTTTTATTTAGGCAGATCCTTGTTAATGGTATTTATAAATTAAATTTGAATTTGGAATATTTGTGTGTGTATGTGATTATGGCAAAGCCTCGAGGGCCATCTGCCTAAGGGAAGGGATGCCTTTGTGGAGGACGTTCTAAGGAAAACTGGCTCGTATACACGTTACACTTGAGAAAAACCATGAAAACGCCCATGCAACCAGCCCGTTTGCGGGATTCGTACCTCGGACCGAACTACTAGTGTTCAGCGACTTTACTGCTCGGCCGCTGGTGGGCTTGGAATATTTGAAGCAGAAATTTGTAAGTTTATTACATCAGCTAAAAATCTTTATAACTCTGAGTATTATCATTTACGTTTTTAATTTATAATTATATTAAGATTTAGATTCCGAATACACGTTTGTGCATGCAAATTAATGAAACTGTAAATAAATGAGACTAACGATATCAGCTGCTGATTGAAATGCAATTACCAACGACTGTACACGAAAACATTCAAAATTCAACTATGCTGTGTTATGGTATATCAATAAAATATTATTAAAGAGCGCATAACACAGTATAACGATGATACATCCCTCTGGACATAATCACTCAGTCACTCTTAAACAACTTATGTGTACTTAACCAAATGTTTATCTAAATGTTCGATTCCGTGATGAGAGAAGTCTGCGAACATTTTGAAGCTTTTCATAAAGTCATATTGCAGTGAATGAGAACAGCATCTCCACTCAACTTTTCTTTTCTTATCTGTTCGAATTTCAGCCAATATATTAACGCTTGAGAGCAAAAACTGGCATCGGTTCTTAAGTTTAGCATAACGTCGGTGTCCTTTGCGGAATTTGCTATTGATAGCACAACTTGGCTTTTAAACTATATACATTTTCTTCCTTCGTGGCTTGAAATAATGCACCTATTTCTCAGCGCTCGTAATGTTGTGGCGTAAGAAACTCCTGGTTTCTCACAAGGTAAAGCTAAAGGAAGTCTGTAGACGTCAAAAAGCTTACACCTTTGCATTCGAACGAGGAATGAAAGATGAACCCATTGTGAATACAATTTGCAAAATTGTGGTGCACCTCACGATAGATAAGCACCACAATGCTACGATACCTAAATTTTGTGAAATTTCTGAGATACCTGCCTGGAAATTCCTGCGAATTATTTCATCATCCTTCAGTCCAGCTATCCTGTGATCAACGCTGATGGCTATTCTTGCCATTAAGAAAGTTCAGTAGTCATTTTTGTAAGAGTGATTTTGAGGTGCTGGAACTATTCATTTATGATTCCCCAGAAATGGCATTTCATTTTTACTATCTTAATTTTATGATTCTCGGTACAGTGAAGATGT